TGTTGGAGATGTGGAAATTTAGATGCAACTTATTTTCATATGTGGTGGACTTGTAGGGCGGTAAAAGCATTTTGGATAAAGATATGGTGGAATATTCAAAATATTTTTAAGAAAAAGATAAAGTTTAAGCCACAGTTATTTTTGTTGGGTATTATGGAAAATTTGGATAAAAAAGAAATGGACTTGATGTTGAATTTGATAACTGCTGCAAGATTATTAGTAGCTCAATGTTGGAAAACGGAATGTTTGCCCACTATAGAAGATTGGGCATTTAAAGTTTTAAATTTAGCAGAAATGGCTAAGATTTCTGCTTACGTGAAGGATTATTCACAAGAAAGATATATTTTGGTTTGGAGAAGATGGATAGATTATATTGAGAACAAATATGGAACTAAAAAGTTTCATTTGGTTTTTGAGTAAATTTTAGATTGTTAATGTAGTCTATTTCTTGTTAAATAGTAATAAGATGCATAATTATAGTGTTTAATACGTTTGTTTAGAAGAGAGTTAAAGGATGTTATAGAATTGTTAATTTAATAGTGATATAATGTAAGACAGAGTATACTTATTGTATTGTTAACCCTGTGACTGGCTCTGGGAAGTCGGGGGTGGGGAGGGGGGTGGGGAAGGGTGGGTTTTGGGGAGGAGGGGAGTTATATTGTAAAACTGTTAAAAATTTTCAATTAAAAAAAACAAAAAACAGCACACACACTCTGCTAGAGAGAAATTCCCTGAAGATAGGCTCCAGCAAGGGCCCGGAACACAAAACCTCTCGTCCTGTTGACTGACCCAGATGGGATCCTGCAAAGCAAACCAGGGTATCTGTAGGGAGGCCCTTCTGTTGCTCCAGTTCCAGTGTTGAGATGCTGAATCCCTCCCTTTTCTTCCCCAGATACTCTGGAAAGTGGACTTCAACTGCAGGAAGGTAAATAGGAGTTATAAGAATCTCTTATATCGCTTGCTATTTTAAGCTCTGATGCTGGTAGCTTTAAGAGAAATACTGTGCAATAGACTGACAAAAAAAGCATAAGATTAGATACCTTGAAGACTATGATGATCAAGTAAACTTAAATGATTTATTATTTATGACCTGTTACTTGCTATTTATATGTACACTGTGAGCTTATCCACTGAAGACATTCCTTGTGTGTCTGATCACACTTGGCCAATAAAGAATTCTATTCTATTCTATTCTATTCTATTCTATTCTATTCTATTCTATTCTATTCTATTCTATTCTATTCTATTCTATTCTATTCTATTCTGTTGCATTCCTTTCCATATAAAGAGCGACAAAGAAAAATATAGGATTAGATACCTTAAAGACTATGAAAATCCACTAAATATAATCTAGAAAATTGATGTCAGTCTTAGTGTAGAATGAAATATTTGCATAAATCGGAAAATATGGGCTGGTACTGAAAGGAATATAGAACTCCTGCCAGGCTAATAACATCCTCTTCATTTTACTGCCTGACTATAAATTGGTGAGAGACCAGGTCTTTGGGAGCAGAGAAATTAAGTCCTTTGGGTCACAGCAAATAGCAAATTTGGAGCACCAGGGATGTCCCAGGGGTGCTTTTTTCACGAGGTAACTGGACTTTCTTGTTTTTCTTTGAAGACATTTCGCTTCTCATCTAAAGAAGCTTCTTCAGCTCTGACTCTGACCCTCACCCCACCATCCAGTCAGAGCTGAAGAAGCTTCTTGGATGAGAAGCGAAACATCTTCGAAGAAAAACAATGAAGTCCAGTTGCCTCGTGAAAAAAAGCGCCTTTGGGACAACCATGACCTGGATGACTGAGAATCTCCAGAGACATCGAGCACCAGGGATGTCTCCACCTTGTGAGCCATCAAATTGATGAAAGCAGAGGTTTCCTGTGCAGAAGCCTCCCCTTTTGTACATCCCTGTGACATCCTGATGCTCGTAGAAAAAAGGGCAGAGCTTCCTCACATTCCATCATGTGCCCCAAGTTCCCTGTGGGGGGATCCCTCTGACTCTGCCAGTTGAGAATTGAAACATGACGGCCTCTTGCTCTGCCTGATCTTCTGGATTAAAGCTCCAGGTAGAATCCCTGTTCAACCTTGGCCCTCCCGGGAACTCACTGAAGGCAAAGCCAACCACTCTTCACCCCCATCCCAATCTTCCCACCTGCAAGATGGAAGTTAAAGAGATTGATCTGCAGGGATGTTAGAAGGGGGTGAAGCACCATGAAGGCTTGGAAAGACAAGGCAACTGGCCGTTTATAAAATCAGTGAATCTTCCAGTCCTGGAAGCTTGGTGTCATGTGTCTGATTAACGAAACACTTAAAAGAACTTTCAGGCATTTTTTTAACCTAAAAGCCTTTATTAAGGTTACAGAGATGTCAGTATGGCATTGGTGGAATGCTTAGATCCGATTTTCTTTTCCGTTGCACATACGTTCCAGGCATTTTTCCTCCCCTATTTTGGGGTCATGGTTCACATCTTCCAATTAACTTGGAAGATGTGATTCACTTCCGGTTCCTTTTTCCCGGGCTTTCCTTATTCTCCTCCCCTTTCACTGTTGCCTGATTCAACTATAAAAATACCAGACAGTTCTGCATATTGTCAAAGCAAGAATATACAGTATTTGCAGTGTTGACACTTGGAAGCTGAACTCCTTTCAGAGTGGAGGCCGTAGGGTTGATATATTGGGGGTCAAGACACAAACCACGCCTGCAGCCTAAGCTCTTGTTCTTCTTCCTTCCTTCCTTCCTTCTTTTCCTACTTGCAGTGAATGTAATTCTGGATCGATGCACAGCCCATCCTGGCCTCCTTTACATCCGCGAAGATGGAAAATGCGTCAGAGGAATTAAGCCAGCTAAAGAAATATATCCTTCCCCAAACAGCACGAGATTTGAATGTTGTCCATATGTCCTTGGCTGTCAGAGGTTCTCAACAGGGAGACGTTTCTGGGAAGTTTCTGTAAGGAATACAAAAGGATGGCGTGTAGGGATTACCAACATGCCAGTGAACGTAACGAATCTTGATGAGCAGGCCAGACACTGGCAGGTTTATAAATGGGAAAAGGAATACGTGGCCATCTCTCCGTCAGTACGCTCTGACCTGGTCCTGACTGAGAAGCCCACAAGGATCCGCATCTCTCTCAACTGCGAAGGAGGACAAGTGAGCTTTTTTGATGCTAGGACCGCAGCTCTGCTCTGTACATTCTCAGACGCTTCCTTGATTGGAGAGACCCTTCTGCCCTCTTTCCGTTTGTACGAAGGCAACTCCCTCTCACTCCCCTAAAAGAGGGGACCTCCATAGGCAAACCTTTGCAAAAATCCCAATTTGCTAAGCTGTAGTCCCTGAAAGCCTTTAAAACAGAGGTTCCTTAGCTTTTGGCTATCACACCTTCCTTTAGTGTTGGATGCCACACTGAGTTGCTTGCGGTTGTGTAGCCGTGGAAATGGAAAGAGTGGGTCAATCAATCTAAAAAATGAGGGGGAGAGTTTGGAAAAATAAAAAATAAATTAAAAAAAAAATAAAAAAATTAAAAATGAGGTGTCCTGTGGGAGATTTATAGGCTTTAGTGTTATGTTTTCAAATGTATCAATATTAAGGATGCCTTATCTTACACGGTTAAACCCATAAATCATGGGTTTTAGATGTCCCTCACAGCTCTCCTTCCCATTTATGTATCCTGCTTGTTTCTTTAATGTTTAGTTGCAATCAATGAGTGTGTAGGTTCCCGTAATTCAATATATTCTGTTTTTCCCCCTTTTTTTCTTTCTTTTTTCTGTTTCTTTTTAAATGTACACAATAATCATAATCCCAACAAACTCTAGCAGGGCTTCAGCAAATATTAGACCCAATGTAAGATTGACAGCATCCTAGGCTTTTTTTTTTCTTTTTTTTTACAAATCCTAGTACTGTTTCTGTCTTTATATATATCTACTTATCTACTTTTTATACTTATCTAGTGCTACTGCCAGTAGGGACAAGAGGCATATTTTTAAGATAGTGAAGAATGCCAGCAAGGAGTGTGATGTGGGTGCTATTGTACATCTTGGCACTAATGATCTGTCCCCAAAATGGTTTCCAGAGCTTGGGGCAGGAACTTAGCAGGATAGGCTGTCGGCCTACTTTTTCAGAGGTTTTACCAGTGTATAAGGAACAAAATGGAAAAGGCCAGCGTATAGCAGAATTCAATATGTGGCTAAAGGAGTGGTGTAAAGAGGAAGGCTTTGGTTATATTAGTCACAATGTCTGTAGCTGGTCCAATGAAAAAATGTAGAAAGCGGCGTTGTTCTTACCTGAACGCCTTTTCTCAGCAGAGTGGTGTAGAGTCCACAGGATGGGTTAATTATGCAATCCTGCCTAGCAGAACTAAGACAAGAAAAAAACTCTTGCCACGGCTCTCTCTGGGTGTGACTTCCCCAGTTTTTGTCACATGTCGAGGCGCAAAATGCAGACGCAAGGCTCCAAATAAAAGTGAAAGGAAAGAACCAAAGGATACATGTCTAGACAAGAATAACAGGGGGGGATGTGGACTCTACACCACTCTGCTGAGAAAAGGCATTCAGGTAAGAACAACGTCGCTTTCTCCAGCAGATGGTGGTGTAGAGTCCACAGGATGGGACATACCAAAGCCACTCATGTCCCTGAAGGGAGGGAGTCTAGGCATGTTCAACAGAGGGAGCGACTACTTGCTACAGTACCCGTCTCCCAAAGGCCGCATCTGCCGCAGCAAAGCGGTCTATCTTATAATGTTTGATGAATGAAGAGGGGGACGACCAAGTCGCCGCTCTGCAAACCTCTTCAAGCGAGGCCTGAGTGGACCAGGCCGCAGATACCGCGGCACTGCGCGTAGAATGAGCAGTGACCTGAGAGGGAACCGGAAGAGATTGGGAAGTGTACGCCTTAGTGATACAGGCCCGTATCCAACGACCGATGGTGGAAGAGGAAACCTTCTTCCCCAAGGTAGAAGGATGGAAGGAGACGAACAGGGCTTCCGATTTGCGGAAGGCCGAAGTACGTTTGAGGTAGTGACGCAGGGCCCTGCGCACGTCCAAGGTGTGCCACCCCTTTTCCAGACGGTGAGAAGGGTTGGGACAGAAATTTGGCAACACCAGTTCCTGAGATCGGTGAAAACCAGTGTTAATCTTGGGGATAAATGTTGGGTCCAATCTGAGGACTACCCTGTCCTCATGGAACATACAGAGATCCTTCCTAACAGATAGGGCGGCCAGCTCAGAAGTTCTTCTGGCCGATGTAATGGCCACCAAAAAAGCAACCTTCAGGGTAAGAAAATGCAAGGAACATGAACCTAAAGGTTCAAATGGAGAAGAGGTCAATGTCCGTAGCACAAAGGGTAAATCCCAGGACGGGTAACGATGAGACGTAGGAGGACCCGTATTTGCAGCACCCTTCAGGAAGGCACTAATCGCTGGATGGTGAGCGAGGGATTCCTGATTCTCACAAGAGAGGACAGTTGATAAAGCCGCAACCTGTCTACGTAAGGTGCTTACCGACAACCCTCTATTAAGACCTTCCAGTAAATATTCCAATATGTTTGGAATAGTAACCGAAAGGGGAGAAAGGTCCCTTGAGTTGCACCAAGAGCAGAAATTTCTCCAGGTGACATCATAAATCCTGTTGGTGGAAGGCCTTCTAGAAGCCTGGATTATAGATATTACCCCCGAGGAATATGATAAACTAGCTAGACCCTCCCGCTCAAGTGCCAGGCGGCTAGTTGGAGCCACTGAGGGTCCGGGTGTTTGAGATTCCCCTGACTGAGGGCTACCCGGTCCGGTGGGATTCTCCACGGAGGAGAGAGCGAGAGATCCACCAGATCCACGAACCACGGCCGACGTGGCCAGAATGGGGCAATCAGTATTACCTCCGCTTGTTCCTGTAGGAGCTTGCGAATGGTCGCCGGGAGCAGTGGGAGGGGAGGAAAGGCATAGAGTACGCCCCTGGGCCAGGAACTCCGAAGGGCATCTGTCCCTTCTGCCCCTTCCGATCTGAACCTGGAAAAGAACCTTGGGATCTGCGCATTTGCCGGGGAAGCAAAGAGGTCTAGGACTGGCTGCCCGAACCTGAGGGCTGCCTCCCTGAACAGGAATGGATCTAACTTCCATTCTGAGTGGTCTATGGTGGCTCTGCTCAGGGAGTCCGCTTGTAGATTGTTCACCCCCGAGATGTGATCCGCTCGGATGGATTTCAGGTTGGTTTCCGCCCAGAGACCCAATGCCATGGCCTCCTGCATGAGAGGCCAAGAGTGGGTCCCTCCCTGTTTGTTTATGTGCGCTTTCGCTGTAATGTTGTCCGTCAGGACTAGTATGTGTTTCCCTTTTACCAGGGGAGAGAATTCCCGAAGAACCAGGTGTACTGCTCTCAACTCTAACCAATTTATGTTGTGGGTCAGATCTGACCGTGACCACCGACCCTGGGCGAGGTGATTGTGGATATGAGCCCCCCAGCCGAATAGGCTGGCGTCTGTGGTCAGGGTAACCCTGGACGGCTCCTTGAAGAATGTACCCCTGGAAATGGCGGATGAAGTCCACCAGAGTAGAGATACCAGCGTCTGGTGTGGAACCCTGACCCTTGCTTTTGATGCACTGAGGTTGCATCTCTGATATGGGAGAAGGAACCACTGGAGACTCCAGGAACGAAGTCTGGCCCATGGCACGATGCCTAAGCAAGAGACCATCTTCCCTAGGAGTTGTGAGAGACGCACCAGGGGCACCCACTGTTCCCTGCGGACCTGGAGTGCCAGTGTCCGGATGCTGACCTGACGTTCCGGAGAGAGATAAACCTCGCAAAGGTCTGAGTCTATTAAGGCTCCTAGATGGATAAGTCGCTTTGTGGGGACCGTGTGGCTTTTTTTTGAAATTCACAGAAAACCCGTGTTCCTGAAGAGTCCTCAGGGTAATCTGTAGATCCGACTCGGCAGAGTGAAGGGACCTGGACAATACGAGTATGTCGTCCAGGTAACACTGGACACGCACCGGCCTCATCCGTAGATGAGCCGCCAGCACTGCCAGGACCTTCGTGAAGACCCGGGGTGCTGAGGACAGGCCAAAAGGAAGAGCCCGATACTGGTAATGCCTGTGTGCATAGGCAAACCTCAGGAACCTGCGGTGTTCTAGCAAGATTGGAATGTGGAGATAGGCCTCCGTTAGGTCCACGGAGGAGAGAAAGTCTCCCTTCCTGACGCTTGCTAAGATGGATTTTAGGGTCTGCATCTTGAATTTCTTGTAAACAAGAAAGCGGTTGAGACCCTTCAAATCCAAGATGGCTCGCCAGCCCCCCGAGGTCTTTGGGACCATGAATAGTATTGAGTAGAACCCGGTTCTTACCTGATCTAAAGGAACCCTTTCTATGGCCCTGATGTCCAGCAGATGAGTGATCGCTGTTGTTACCAGGGAGGCCTTTGACCGATTTCTTGAAACCGGACACTGAATGAAACGGTCTGGAGGGTAAGACTGAAATTCTAGGGAGAGACCATATCTTATGGTCTCTCTGACCCAGGCGTCCGTGGTGGTGCCCTCCCAGACGTCGCAAAACAGGGCCAGCCGACCCCGATGGGATAGCCCCCTTCGGCGTCATTTGGATCGCCTAAAAGGCCGCCCTCCTGAGCCCCTGAAGGGGCGCTTGGACTGGGACTGGCCCCTGGCTCCTCCACTCTGGCGGTCCTGCTGGCGGTCTTGCCTAGGAAGGTAGGACCGTGAGCCTCTGGGCCAATCCCAGGACTGCCCCCCCCGAAAGGGCTGTCTCCATTCCCAAGAGTCACCCGAACGAAAGGATGACCTGCGATAGCCGGATTGAGGTCTCCTATCGAATTTCTTTG